AATGCCATTTATATTCAAGATTATGGGGGGTGTGCGCTAGACTTCCCTCCACGTGGTGCACCCTGGGCAACGTATACTCATGCGGCAAGAAAGTCTATAAACCGGCAGCTGACTTCAGGCTTCACAGAGGGAGAGGAACATCAAATCGAAAAAATTCGAGAGGGGGGGACAGAAGAGTATTTTAAAGATGCAAAAGAGACAGATACAAAGGTAGATGAATGGTGAGTACTGTGGAAGTAATCGAATATGACATAGTGGGGTCATGATAACTTGAAATCAGAAGTCAACTGCCTGCCATTTGATATAAATAGATTAAGAAGTTGTCGATTAGCTCTGTCTTCTTCGCCTATTTACCGAGGGAAGCGAACATTTCCGTTGACTTTGATTCGTTGATGACGCCTCTTTCTCTCTCTCTCTCTCTCCTCTTTAGTGATGACTAAACTTTATTATATGGTAATGTAATGTAATGAAATATATTTTGGCATCTATTGGTAACCTGTGTGGGCCCATTTAGAAGAAATAACTGCGTTATAGGTGACTGACCCAGGATGGTTCTACCGTATCCATTTAAGACTATTAGGCAACCCGTTTTTGCTTGTTCTCATTTAAAGACCGTTCAATAGCAAAACTAGCATATGTAATTATTAATGACACGGATGCAATAGTATAGGGGATTTTGTCCACGGACTTTGGAACTTTCACTTCTTCCCTCCTTATCGCCTCCGCTTCTTTATAAATTCTTTGAAGATAGGTTAGCAGTGAATTCGCTGTGTTATTGCTTGCATATTGCTTTCTTCTCTCCGAAAATCACAGGCAACTTGGAGTGAGTAACGAATTCCACAGTTTACACTCGATTTCCCTTTTAGGGGGGGGGGGAAGATTTGCATTTCGATTGGCAAATGGGAAACGGTTTTGTAGAGCATCCCAGCTGTGACCGGCCGTTCAAAGCACATACTTCTTTAGAGTTTTGATTTTTTTGTTTTTATTGTTTATTTTTTGCATTTTTCAAAGCTTCAAATGAATTTTTTTAATTAAACGCTATTTGCATGTCAACCCACATGCCTGTGGTATCTCGCAGTCTTTTTAGGACTTCTTCTTCTCTCTCGACGCGTATAAAGCTCCATTCCTTGCATGCAGAAACTGCATTCAATCATCAGCATCTACGTTAGCTTCATTTTGCCTCTTTAAATTTCTGGTTAGACTAATTGGCTTTGTCTCTTCCATCTTATTGTGTCTTAATTATGGTGACCACTTGAGAGAGGCATTGCCTCGTGGTATAATGCTGCAGTTATCGCGACCATGAAGGAAAAGGAGGCTGTAATTGTCAATAGTAACGTCAAACTTTTCCTGCACAAAAATAGTCATACGAATTGGATGGGAGTTATTGGTTTGTTTACTTCTCAAAGAATCGAAAGTCGATTGCCCAAATAACGAACTACTTTTAGTACTTTTTTAAGAATCCTATGCAGTGGCTCTTTTGGGAGAGATGCGCAATTTATTTCAAGTCGGGTTTCTGAAAATCACGTCCAATTGGCACGGAATTACAGCCAACGCTCTAGCAGCAACCACAACTTAGTTATCAAACTCAAAAAATTGGTTTTAATGAATAGTTGATGCAAGTAGTTGATGGGTTGTATGAGTAGCACATGGAGTGATGATTGGTTAAAGCGGTATTCGCCAATCAACAGCTGGGGAGAACTTTGAACTCTCTGGGTTCACGTTTATGATCAGACCCTTAGATCGAATGGCGATTGGCTAATAGCCATGAGTGGATTTGTTAAGCATCTGTCTAACAAGTTGTGCTGAGTTTATGGTAGCGTAAAGAAACATTACCTTGCGGTCCACGATTATTGTTTCAAGCTGTTAAATGCAATAACTTGAAAGGCCGTACTCCACACGGACAATGAGATGATTACCGACTAGGCTGCTGTCGATCTGAATCACCATTATTAAAGTGTCATAAGAAACTGGTCAGCTGTAGTAAATCTGTATTTCTGATATTGTAATAATTATTTTGGAATCCTACTCAATTCACATTCATCCCACTGACTACACATTGAGGTGGTTTATTTTTCTGCTTTTTGCTTTAGTCTTCCTTTGCTGATCCTACTACGCGTGACCGAACAATGGACTTACTTGGAAGTACCCTGAATGCCTTCTCTCGATTGACTGAAGTGTTGCGGTTCGCAGAGGTTATATCGTGGGTCGAAGAGGTCCTAGTTTACCTTGAGGCAGCATTTACTTGGGCACCCAGCTTTGTTCTTGATGCGGCCATCAATGTGCGTTTTCTAACAAATTTATTGGCTTCAATTTGATATTAAAATCTTTTAATCCACTAACTTTGACAGCTTTTAAGGGTTCTTTTTGGGACCAACCTCTCAAGCATTTGGAATACTGAACTATCTTCCAAGTTTCACGCTGTTTTTGATTTTGATGTTTCACCAACTTCAGGTAATGTATGCTCCTAGAATTTATTTTTCTCTATTGAGTTCACTTCAACCCAAGTTTTTCATTTTGTCTTAAAATAGAAACCAGCAGTTTGGATGAGCAAATAAAGCTGATCTGTGAGACCCACTTTGAAAACGCCTCGCAAATTCGTTTCTCTAATGCTATTGGGCGATCATTTTTGGATTGGCTACATTCTGCTCGTCAGTCTCATCAACCCGCTATGCTTCGACCTGAATCTCTGCCTGCAAACATTCAACAGGTATCCAAACTGTTTTTTAAGCAATCCATTAAGTAGCTCTATTCTAAATTCACTTTGGTTTAACTTGAATTTTCAGCCCAATCTGGCGTACTATATTCGTCTCTTTGAACCTCTTGTGCTCCAATGCATTCATCAATATCATCTTCATACTGATCCAACTGTTCAAGCAAAGATTCTTCAAATTCTAACTGTCCTTATTGAGCTTGGTGTTAACTATGCTCAACTTGATGAGGAATCCGTAAGTGCTATTGAAATCCATATCAGTATGTTGGCTATCTCAAATACCGTTGAAGTAATATGTGTCTTCTTTTTTCAAATAGTGCTTTCTGAAGACACTCATGTCTCAGTGCGAGTCTTTACAGCATAGCAATGCCACTGCCTCCTATAATCACCAGACCTCATCTAAAGACGCCTCGGAACTTGTTTCGAGTTTGTTTAAATTCTTCATTGTTCTTACCTACGAACGTAAAAGTAGTGCGTCTTCGAACTTAGAATCCAGAACAGTGCTCACTCTCTCTGAGGTATGCTACTTTACCACGTCTACTCCTAGTACTTAAGTGCAAAATATTGTATGCTTCCGTTTCTTAAGGTGGTCCACTTAGCAGAGGTATTAGCAGCAGGTGGTGTCGATGTGGACTCTTTCGTCATACCGGCTCTGGCACCCCTGATAATTGATATATACGTTCGTCGTGGAGCACGCTATCATCCCGCTCTGCGTATTAATGCGCTAAATTCTCCACAAGAAAAATTATCAGATCTAAATGCTCAAGTTGCTAAGGACCTACAGTAAGTTTATTGGGTTCTTTTTCATGTACTTTTGTGTGGAGGAGCCTCACACAATTCATTTCGCGTTTTAGTGACTGGACCGTCCATCGAGAAGCTATGTTGCGTTTTCTACTGCCAAAGTTTATCGAATATCCGAAAACGTTTGATTTTCTCTGCGTAATTCTTGAGGATGCTTCTCGGACTGATACGGTCTTAAAAGTGGCTTTTGAGTCTGGGGAGAGTACTTTGTCATATGGAACTGCAACTGAGGTATGTGAATCTTAAATGAATCCTTTTAATTCTCTTTTTTTATTGTGAAAACTCCTACCAAATTATCTCCAGGACACGCTTGCTTAAGCTTAAGTTACGAAATCCATCACCTATTTTTCATCAAATAAATTAAGAATTTCGACAAGAGTTTTAAGACTTTCTCTCCCCTTACAATTGACTAACTCTTTTATCAGTATTGGGAAAATTGTTTGGAGGTTTTAATAATGTGTTGGAGAAAGAATGTTTTTGGATAAAAGTTTGCAAAATGTATCTATTTGTGTTGCACAACTTTAGGAATGCTCGTTATATCAAAGCTCTCTTTCTTTAGATATTCGGACATTTCATGACTGCTCTTGCAGATTGCAGTCTCCATTTGGACAGTTGTGGTGATGTTGACTCTTGTTTGCGTCTGGTAAGACGTCTTGCCTCTCCTCATTGGCCAGCTACCACACTGCATGATGTTATCTTTCACAAAATTATCGTGACACTCTACAAGGAGCGATCTGAAGCAATTTCTTTTAAGCAGGTACACTCGATTGCCCATTTTAATGATCATGCATAATTCCTCCTACCTCCCCTCTCCCCCCCCCCTCCCCAGTACTATTGATGGGTTGCTGACACGGCGGAAGGTGTACTTCGGCATTATCCAAGGCTGATGGTTCCACGCCCATTAATAAATCCCCAGTAAGGAGAATGATCAATCACATTGATTGCAAAAGTTAGCTAAGGTCGAATTTCTCACCCGGGAGGTTTTGGAATACCATTTTTAAATCTGGGATTGGAGGTCGAAAGTTCTTTTCAAGATGTGTGTGTGCGTGCGTGCGTGTTCATATCATAATTTGTTGTAGGGCAACTAAATCTATTTCAAAGTTGTTATTACCAAAGGTTATGTACTACCTGAGTTTTCAATAAAACACCTACATCTTAGGGAACACTGATGAAGCATTGATTCCAATCAAGTAAAATAAAGAAGGGGTCTACTAAATCTCCATTTACAAAATTGAGAAAAATATAATGGAAATCGATAAATAGCTTAAAGAGATTCCTTTTAGATATGTTGGAGTAAAGCTCGATCTTTGTGCCGATGATCCAATTATGTCAACGATTAGCTATAAATATTTCATAATGTTACCAAGTGCTGATATATTCCAGGGTATTGATTTTCTTGCTTCATCCCTTGAGATTTTTATTTGAATCCTTTCATTGAATTAGTCGTCGCAACAACTCCAACGCTTGATGGCATGCAAATTCGTGTGTCTTCGATTCCTCCTCCTGGTGGCCATGAAACAACCATCAAGTCTCCTACCAGCCCTTCGTGATTTCGGGAAATGCGGACAATCTGATCCGCGCGCAGTCCTCTTTGAGTAATTTGAGTTTTTTTCTATTCTACATACTTTTTGGTCAGGCAACATGATACCCAATCATTTGGTGTTTTCATAGGCATTTATTAGATTATCTTGCCATCATCAGTGAATCCATACTGGATCACCTTACGAGCTCTCTAGATGATATTTTCGTGAGTTCAACTGAGAGCCAGCCTGGCACATTCCTAGGACAACTATTGCTGGCATTCCAACTGGACATTTTAGCGCTTGTTCGATTACGTAAGTGCTTATTTAAATACAGCAGAAAGCCCATGTCACACGCACACACACACACACACGAGTTTTGCATGTCATGTATTATGCCTTTTAGATGCACTTACAGTCACTGGTATTCCCATAGAAAAAGTGAGTTTCTCTATATCCTTTTATTCCTACTATTTGTCTTTTGAACATTTTAAATATCTTTGTTCCTTCTAGATCGAGCATCTGGATGCTATATTTTCAACTTACGGACGGTTCAAGCCGCTTGTTGCAATTCTCTGGTATCAACTTCGCGCTGAACTGTTTCAAACTCCAGTTGAAAGTCGCATTCAACTCACTCCGTACCACCGTAATAGCGTCTGTGTTCGAAAAGTCACCTTTCTATTCCACAGTAGAATCAAAAAGCACGGCTTCACGCATCTCCCCTCCGATATAGATTTGCTGGATTTAATGAAATCTTCCGAGTTGAGTGGTTTGATCCTTTCAATTGATGATACCAAGCAACGTCTTGAACTCCTTAAGAAGATTATTTCTACGACTGTTTCTCGATTTGAGACTGCCGTCGTAAGTCACTCGTTTTCTAATACTAAGATGGTATTGTGTAATTACTTTACGTCAAATAAAGTAATTCAAAAATATTTCTTGCAGGTCCCTTCCCATGCTCTTTCTCAGCTCAAAACTCTGAGAATTTTACTTCTACTAATATCCAATTTTATTGATCAAGGATGGGAGCTGGATAGTTTGAAATACTTTCTCCTCGACCTGACAGCATCGTTCAAAGAATGGTTTGACATTAGACCCAAGAATCCTTTATTTGGCCTGCCCGCTATTCGCAAGGAGCTTGAGTTTGCCTTACTTAACTGCCTAACGGGAGTTGAGAATTTGAAAGTCCGTTTTGAACATACTCCTTATTTCATCGCGTATTTGTGTATCTTGAAACCCAATTTTCCATTCTGTAGCTAGATGAACTTCCAGAGGATTTGGATTCCTTCCTTAAATCGCTTGACTCTTCAAAAGCTTTCAGAACCTTCTTCACAACTGAATTACCGAAAACCCTAGGCAAAATATCCAATCGGTTAAGCAAGAATGTTTTCAAGGAGGAACCTCAAAGTTCTTCAGCGAATGATATGGCTGAAACTTATCTAAGTAATGCATTAAATGTTTACTACAAAGACGGTGGCCGATTGGCGGCTAAATTATTTCAGTCAAATCCATATTTTGAACTGCCGGCAGATCTTCCACCTAGATTCCTCCAACATGTGATTCGTCTCGGATTCGTGACCACCATGAAAAGTTTTAGTCCTGATGCATCTGAAGCATTTAAAACTGATTCACTCTGGCAAAAAGGGTAAGTGGAAATGTATAGGATTACAATTTTCAACAGACTAAAAAGTCTTTCACTCTCTATCTCATTTCTGAATCTATAGGAAAGAACTACTTTTCCAAAAGCTTAGTTCATTAAATCAGGTACAAAATGCAATGGGTATGTTTTAGAGTTTCTTTAGTGCAATTTACTTTTCGCTTGGAAGTAGTTGTGACTTACCCTGTTACTTCTAGATTCAATAAATCAGAGACAGTTTGTTGGTTTGGCAGCGGCAACAGTAGATTTCCTCGTACTTTCTACACGCCTACCCCTTCCATCAACACCGTCTGATGAGGAAATTGAAGTAATGACAGTCCTTCTGCAAACACTTGTGCAGGTCAGTTTGGTCACTCTATTTTGTCCAAAAGTGGCCTGCCACGTTTGGGCTTGCGATTGTTCGTCTCTTTTTCTACCGGTGTTTGTTAATATTATATTTTTTGTGATAAAATTTAATCAACTAATGCTAATAAAAGTCAGCGTTTGTTTGCTCTTGCTGATTTTTGTTACACTCTTGCTATAGCTAATTTTATGCCTAAAGATTGTTTTTTTGCTCCATCTACCTGTTAATATAGGTACTTTCTGTAGACTATCAAGCTCTCTTTCTCCATTTTTTTCTAGATCTTCATTCGGAACGTAACTGAAGAAACAGGCGTCCCTCTTCTGATTAATCTTGATCTTCCTTTGCTCACGCTCCGATTAGCTATTGTTCTCATAGCCTCAGCTAGTGACAAAATTCAAGACTTTGTAAAACTTAATCTGGAAACATTCATTCAATTCGCTGAAACTTTGAACATTGCCGGTTAGCTTAGTTTAAACTACAAGTGATGATAGCTATCTTTTGTGCTGAATCTTACATTTATTGTCTAGCCTCCCTCTCAAAACCCAATACACTAGTGCCATGTAGAACATCGCATTCAGCCGATCAACTTCTTTATCGTTTGCGAGGACTTCTAGTTCCAAAACAACCGGGAATTTTTCGGGACAGTACCAACGCTTACTCTTTAACCCGTTTCACGGAAGTACTGAATAGCTTTGCTGCAAATGCTGGGTCAACTGGAGGTGGTTGCGGTGCTGTTGGTGATGGACATGAGAGAAGTCGAGTTGCTCTGACAAGTGTGTTTGGACTTTGTCGTCTATGTCCTCTCGGCAAACTATACTCCAATGCTCATGGAATGGGATCTACACATTTATCTACGCAGTTTTCAGCTTTCTTGATTTGTAAGCACATGCTGCCTCCTTATAATATGCACTTCTTTTGTCCCTCATAGGTTAGGGCCATCCAACTTACGCGTGATTACAAACAGGATAAAATTTTCCAACTACACTTGAAAAGGGAATCTTTGTACCTTTTTGGTTGCGTTTTGATAGTTATCATTGGCCCTTTAACTGGGTTCGGGCTTCACAGAGAGGAGGAGGAACATCAGGGTGACAAAAACTCGATAGGGGGTGGCAGAGTAATGATTCACAAATGTAAAAAAGACAGACAGACACAAAGGCAGAGGAAAGGTAAGGTGAGTACTGTGAAAGAGGTCCAATATGATATACAACGGGGTCATGGTAGTTTGAAGTGAGAAGTCAACTGCCGGTTAATAGACTTTTTGCCGTATTAGTTTACGTTGCCCATGGTGCACCACGTGGAGGCAAGTCTATCGCATACCCTCATTACCCATATATAAGATTGTATAAATGTTTTTAATAAGGATGCTTTGGAACATTATTCTTCCGTCGCTAATTGAATATACCAGGGACTTATTATTATGGTGCTGTTGCAGAGAACATTTTTAAAATACAAAATTTAGTTTAAATGTGTTGGTAGAACGAAGCTTCTATAAATATCAACGATCAGCAAATTAGGACAGATATTTTATTTTAAATAGCTAATAATTACAATCGCAAAATACGCTTACCCATATCAACTTGTAAAACTCTTGGACATTGTTTTACTTATGCCTAATATTATAAGCATATGCAGATTTAGACCCTCAATTTTTAGCAGAACTTTTTCATACTCCCTTGTACTTTAGCCCTTTGTAGACGACATGATATTCTTCCTACTCTTCGCCAACCAAATGCATTTTGCGAGTCGGCTGATATCGATCAAATCCCCGATTCTGTTCAAAGCGGCATTGCCTCAAATGGTATTCTTCAATGGAGTCCTGACCGAGTTGCCGAAATGGACAAAGATGTATTGGCAGAAGCCTCTGCTTGGCTCCTCTCTCTAGGGTGGTTAGATAAAACCATGTTTGAGTCATCTTGGACTGCTCTTCTTACTATGTGCTCTCCTCAACCGTTATCCCTATCTTTATCATCTTCCCTAGAGGACGAAGATAATCCTTTTCTTAATAGTAAAGAGGTGAGAACGCGAAGTTTACATAACTTTAGTTAAGTAGACCATACTATCACTAATTCTTCTTCGTTTGTGCCATAGGAACAGGTGGAAGAAAATCACTGCCGAGTTATATGCCTCAATACATTAACTCGTCTTCTTCTTAACGCTGCACATCGCCCGAAACCTGGGGATCCCTTGAATAGCTCACCAATTCATCAACCCCGTTTGTCATTGCCACCCCAGTTCATGCATACTAAGTAAATCAGCGATTCCTTAAAACTCTTCCTCCTCATCAAGTCTCAGTAGCAAATTTATTTTCCTTTATGCATTAGAATTGGTTGTCGAATAAGCCATGTTATGGGATGTTTGGATCAGGAGACCCGTTCATGGTTCTACGACATTTCTCCAACTCTTGGTGTAATTGGATACGATGCAGGAAATTCTGAGGGTTCTCTATCGTGGCTTTCTGCCAACATTGACTTGGAACACCCAGCAGATTTGGATTCGCCAGCGAATCAAGTTCCTATTGGATGTTTAGTCAAATGGATGCTACATTCACCGGGTACTTCAACTGATTTGATGTGCTGCCATTTTACCTATTTCGTATCGCTTTACCGGGCCGAATTTACTACTCGGGTAATAAGCAAGACCAAAAGTATTAAATAGCTTCTGAGAACACTAGTGAAACCACGGATAAACATTTAGATATTCTCGGTTTGATTGATTTTTGAATAGGAAAATAGAAGTTTCGTGCCACGTCCTTACAAGTGTTACGGCTGTTGGTGTCATAGTGACGAATGTACTTGAAGGTTCGCTAAGCTATTTATAATGAACATTTTTGTCCAACCAAACAAACCTATGATTTCACTTTTAATGTTTATTGCAAAGGTATTTTTGAAATTTCAATTACTGAGTGTATATTAGCAATTATTGTTTTCATTAATAACATTGCACTTTATTGCCTGCCATCAATGCAAATACACTGTGGAAATATGGATTCTCCAAATCAAATCTCGTTTTACTTCAAATCAGATCCATTGAGATTGTGATTTTGTCATTTGCATTTTGTGTACTTATTTATTTCCCGTTTAAATTGGTTTGGGCTATTTTAAACATGGTCCTCACATATTTGGCTTGCTCTATCCTTGATTTTATTCCCAATTTCGATGTAATCTGCACAGCCTAAATAGTAGTATTTGGACCAATACGCCGCTGCTATAATATTTTTAGTCATGTATACTGATGTAACAATTCATAGATGTATCAGAATATCCATTTCTATATTCATTGAGTGACCTTTAATGTAAAAATTGGTGGCTTTTTAGATTAGTAAAGTCCAGGGGTGTTTCTAATTCCGTCTCTACCGTGCATACTGATCGAGTTTCCTTCCCTCATTATAGAACCCGCAGGCTTCGAACCTGACACAATTATTTCCTGCCTACAATCTCTGCGTCTTGTTCACCACGCTTGGCTCCGACCCTTTGAAGAGCTCTTTCTCTCTCGTGTCACTGAATCTCTTAGTACCAGTACTTCCACCTTGAACATCACCAATCAGAAGTCAGCTTCAATTAGTTCAAGACTTTCTGCTATTACTTCGCCACAAAATTCACAGCGCAATAAATTCATGCAATTATTTAAGCGCGGTTCGAAAATCATAACTTCTAGTGGTCAAGGTGATTCAGAGAATCATCTCCCCCTTGCGTTTGGAGATGCAATTCTTCTAACCGGCGTTCTTTCTCCCATTGAAAAGAGAGATACCTCCTTGTCAGATATCCCTAAAGCTGAGTTGGAAAACTCGGATAAATTAACTGAAATCGCTCCTTCAGAGACGGGATCTGTCTTGCAATCGCATGGAGAATGTGCACTGCCGTCGTTGGCTGTTCTAACTGCTGTGGTTAAGTCTGCTGTTTTATGTAGTAATCTCTTTACTACGAGAGAAGAGTTCCTATGGCTCATTGGGTGCCTGCAAGCAGGTAATCTTTATATTTCTAATAAAAATGAATGCATATTTTAATGTGTTGTATTTTGTGGAAAGCTAATTGCCTATGAATTAACAAGGTTGTAAAGAGATTATGATTATGACTTAAATAAGGGTTACGGTCGCCTCGTAAATACGAGATTTAAGCAAGGTATTAATTTTAGTGTAAAGACTCAAGCGACCCATCGAGAATGAGTCTTGACTAGATTGCTTCATAGTGAAATGTATGATTTACAACTATTTGGCTGTATAAATGACGTGTCCTTGAGAACTCGGGGGG